TTTTTCTCTGGCAGGATTGATGATGAGATGACTTATTAAATCAGGTCTTTCTTTAGTTCGCTATATTCCAGGGTCTCATCCACTCCGGAGACACTTGCAATGTGAAGCAGTGTTGACCATTGTGTTAAGAATAATAAGAATGAAATCTGCCAATGTGGATCCGAAGTAGACGCTCACGTATATATGTATGTACAGTAAGTAGTAATATGTTATATTTATTCATTTTGCTTTCCACCTTTATATTCTATCCCTACTTATCCCTACTTACTAACAACAGAATGCTGGCTTAAGAAGTGACAGCGAGTGCCAGCTTGCTATCTATGAGTATTCGGACGGATTAACGAAAGCATCATCATTCTCATTTCACATAACAACAAAGTCCGATTGAGTTCTGTTTACCATGGCTCCCAGGCGGCCCGGCCCCTCGATAAGTTTCTAGTCGAACTAATCGGGACAACCTATCTAAATATCGTACTGATGGTCTCTGCAAAACAAAACTTTCGTAAATTAGACTCTAGTCAAATCCTACTATCCTTCAATGTTGACCTGACAGATATTCCCAGTATGATAAAGCTTACAAAGCCGACTTCTTCTTCTTAGTATACCCGGCAGTCCTGAACCCAGGCCACTCAGTCGGCAGCTCTTCCACAATGAACCTGAATATGGCAGCCTGTACCTCTTCCGGCTTTTCATATTGTGCAAAGTGTCCTGCGTCGATCGTAACCTCAGTCAAATTACTACAATTCTCTCTCATCGGCTCGACCAGGCCAGACGTTATGGTATCACACACCACATCCCTGGCATCATGGATAAACAGGACAGGTTGGTCCAGCTTCCCATCACGCTTCCCATTGTATTCCGCGTTCCGCGCATGGTGAAGGTAGTACGCAGACCCGGGCCAGAAGCCAGTCTTCTCCATATCCTGAACAAACGAGTCGAAGACCTCGGCAGGAAGCACCGGAGGTCCTGTCATGTCCACACTCGGGGGCTTTGGCGCCCCGCCCATCCATCCGCCGGCCTTGCGCACGTTGGCAGTCAGCTGGGCAAAACGGCTAGATGGGGGCATGCTCGGTTGCAGTGAAGCCTTGCAGAATCCTGCAACGTCCCGGTCAAACCATTCAACGGTTTTTTCGAAGTTCTCCTCCCAGTTCTTCATATAGTCCCACTGGCCGAACTCGTATTCGTCCGCCGGGTAGAGCTCGCGGTTCACGAACGGCAGGAAGCCCTGCCAGCCGCGCTCGATAGTGTGAAATGGCACAGACAAATTCACCAGTGCTTTAACCACCTCGGGGTGTTGCGTCGCGACGGAGGATGTGACGCCTGCGCCCCAGTCGTGGCCGACCCAGATCGCTGCATCGCGGCCGGTGTCGGCTAGCAAAGCCATCATGCCCTCCACGATGGCCTCTTGACAGTAGTCGTCGACCACGCGGCGGGCTGTCGACTGCCCGTATCCTGGCATATCCGGGGCAATTGCGCGGAACCCCACGGATGCGAAGGCATCGATTTGCGCCTTCCAGGTGATCGCGGTGCCCGGCCAGCCATGGATGAAGAGAACCAGAGGGCCATCGACAGGGCCTGCTGCTAGGTAGTGAATCTTTTTGTCGCCCGCGTAGACGACGTTGTGGTCGGTGATGGCTACCATGATGATATGTGACTGTACTTCCAATCGGAAGTTCAGATTCTCGCCGATCTGTGAAACGTCAGTCGTTCTGCGTTGCTTGTTTGATGACCTTGAACATACGAGGTTGGATTCTATATTGTCTCCTCAATTCTTCGGTTAAAAGTCTTGGGGTTTGATCAGGTGGGGGTGAGATTTATTATGTATTTATAACCAAGTAGTTAGTTAGTACTAAGGACTAAGGACTAAGGACTAGGTAAGCACTGCCCCTCACCCAATCGTGAAACATGTTACATGAGATCCAGTACGCCGACTCATTGATTAGAGTTTCATTACTATGGCAATTATTATTACGAGCCGCTCTCCATAAATCAGGTTTGACATGCCCTGTTGCCGACTGACTCCGAGTTCGTTCTCCTTGTTAACCGAAAATGGATGTCAATCTCTTGGGCCGGGATTAAACATCGGGCGTATGCTCAACGCCGGTCAAACGCCGCTAACTCCTTGCTCTGTTATTGAATGAAGAGTTTCTCTCTGGAATACAAAAAGGAGGATATGGCCGTCGGAATGGTAATGAAACCCATCATCACAGATTGCAACGACTTCAAAAGTTTTATCAGCGTGCACATCCACTGGACAAAAGATGCCCGAGATTGTTGGCAAGGAAGTAGGCCCCATTGGCTTGGGTCTGATGGGATTGACTTGGCGAGCGACGCTACCGTCTCAGGAGCAGGCCTTCGAGGCTATGCATGCCGCCATCCATAATGGAAGTATGTGATTGATCGCTCGGCAGGTAGCCTGCTAGTTCCTTTGCATGCCTCGGTAGCTAACCCTTGTGGTTCCAGGTAACTGTTGGAATGGTGGCGAGTTCTACGGATCTCCTGATTACAATAGTCTCGTGCTCCTGGAACGGTACCTTGAGAAGTATCCGGAAGATGCCGATAAAATCGTTCTGAACATCAAGGGTGGTTTGAACCCCGAAACTCACCAGGTAGACGCCTCGCCGGAGAACACACGCAGAAGCCTGGATAATTGCATTGCTCAGTTAAAGGGTCGCAAACAGAAGATTGACATGTTTGAATTTGGCCGCCGCGACCCAGCTGTACCGATGGACGTAACCTTTGATCTAATCGATAGGGAGTATGTCCAGACTGGGAAGATTGGGGGAATTGCGCTGTCCGAGGTGCGGGCTGAGACCATACACGAAGCCGTCAAGCACACCAAGGTGGTTGCGGTAGAGGCCGAGCTCTCCTTGTAAGCTTCCTGAATCGATTTTCATGGCCGCATATGTTGACTGAGACAGGTTCTCTACCGACATCTTGGAGAATGGCGTCGCAGCGGCATGCGCCCAATATGGGATTCCGATCATCGCTTACTCGCCCATTGGCAGAGGCATGTTAACCGGCCAGTTCAAGAAGTTTGACGACCTCCCTAAGGACTCGTTGCTGTTCTCCTTCAACTTCCCTCGCTTCCAGAAGGGTAATTTCGAGAAAAACGTGCAGCTGGTCGAGAAGGTAGAGGCAATCGCGAAGAAAAAGGACTGCACACCAGCACAGCTGGCTATTAACTGGACGAGAACGTTATCCAGGCGTCCGGGGATGCCAACTATTATTCCTATTCCCGGTGCCACAACAGCAGAGCGGGTGAATGAGAACAGTAAGCTTATCGACATCACTGATGAAGAGATGGCGGAGATTGATGCGATTCTGGCGACGTTCACCCCGGCTGGTGGACGATACGCTGAGTTCATTCCGACCAATACATAGGGCTATCAGGGTTGTATCTGAGTTGGCAAATGTACCACAATGAAGGCTGTATGCGTTTATATAAGTTGTATCATTGTGGCTTCCTTGTGAGATGGGTGGGTTGTATAAAATGTCGATTCCATGTCAAAGTGGTGCTCGTATACCTTGAACATAGCGAACTATCCAGTTCCATCCTTTCAAGAACCCCCTGGGGAACTACGTTGGATATAATCATGCAATTCTCGCAGCCTTACAACAAGACACAAGCAAGAAATCAACTGAACGTTCGAAAAGAGACTAGCCCTAACTAGAGTAGCAAGTTTGGAGAGGTTTCACGGCACTTTTAGGAATAACAGATACACTTCATTTAATTGAGGAAATAGATGTCCTTCCGAGGAAAGAAAGCAAAGAATTGTAGTTTTGGATCCATCCAACTAGAGTATCTGGCTTGTCTCACAGTAATCATCGACCTTTTACTGTCCATTTCGAGGCGTCTCCGGGTAGAAGCCGACCGGTTCTCCACCAGCTCCTTTCCTGCGACGTGTGATTCAAGTGAGCGTGGGAAGATTTCACGATATTCAGAGAGATGACCTTAGAATGCCAGGGTAACCACGAAATGCCCACTGAGCTACAGCCTATGATGCACAATGCTCACTGAACACGGCACTAAGTACCTTTACTAAAGCAGTGGCATCCCGAGAAGGAAAGTTCAGATCAGTAGGAAAAAAAAAAAAAAAACGATTCGTATAGGTGTATATATGATATAAAAACACAACCTCTGATAATCCCTAAATTGGAGATGCGCCCCAAACCTAATTGGGACCGATTTCATTACTTATGCTACACTGATTATAGAACATTAGCCCAGATGATCCGATGACATATTTCTACGCAGTCTCTTAAAACTTACAATATGGATTGAAGATTTATAGAACTAGCCTTCCAGGCTCAATCGTCAAAAGAGCCTTGACACGGTCCAAGAAAACCCTAGCCCTTTTCTCTTCTTCAACAGGAACAGTCAGACTGAAGACATTGGCGGCGCTACCAGCCGGAGCTTCCACCACTGACGGACGGGAAACAGCCTTGGGGGCCTTGCCGCTGAGAATATCGATGATGTCTTCCTTAACGGGCTTGGCCGGCTGAACGGCGGAGGGCGCCTCAACTGCGTTTAACTCAGGAACGTAATCGCCCCGGGATGTTTGAATAGGCTTTGCGCCGAGAACCTCATCGAATAGCTCGTCAACGGACTGCTTCTCGCGAGACGAACGGGGAAGGTCGTCGTTGGCCAGATCGGTAGCACGGGCGAGGAATGTCGCAAGAGGCACGTTCACACCCAAAGTTTCTTGGATCTTCTTCTGGACGGACAGAACAGTAGCCAGGGAGATCGAGACGGCTACGGAGGTAGTTGGTGGTGCTCTAGCGACTGGCTCCTCGGCCACTGGCTGTGGCTCAGCGGGCTTCGGCGGCGCGGCGATCTTGATGTTGCTCAGATCGAGGTGGGCAAGCTTATCAAACCGGACTTGCTGGGTGGCAGGATAATCAGCTGGGATAGAGCCAAGGTAGGCGAGGACATCGCCCTTGAGAAGACGGCCCTTGGGACCAGACGCTGGAATCTTCGAAACCTCCGATTCTGGAATGCCCTTCTCGTGAAGGAGCTGGATAACGGATGGGTAGAGTGGGTAGGCGGGGTTCTGGGTCTGGACGGCAGAAGAAGATGCCAGGCCTAGATAATCCGGTCAAACGCGATGTCAGCCTACATGTCTCGGAAGGAGTATATAGTCTAAGCGCTTTTGCGAAAGAATCTCCCTCATTTTGATATCCCGCGGGCAACTTACGTCTCGTAGTACCAAGTACGCGTGGTTGCCGTCTGGCGAGCACGGCCGGAATTTGGCGCACGGTGAAGCTGGAGGCCATTTCTAGATATAAAAAAGAGCTCTCTCTATAGATTCTGGGTTGTATGCTTTTCTCCGGTCGTATGATACTCCCGTGGCGCTGGAATTGGTATCGGCGGACAAGGGACAGGAACGATCAAGAACCCACCACCACGTCGATGGGGCCGCACGGAAACCCAAGTGAATCGTGTGACTCGAGGCGATATCGCGGATCTAAAACTTATTGTAAGAAGACATAAACGCTGGATTTAACTGTAAAAAGGTGAGACCAACCTTGTAGAGATGTTGAGGTTGTTGGGAGCTTCACCGGCCGCCCGGACGGGAACATTTTTCTGCCGCGGAGAGGACCGGATTCCAGGTCCGTCACTGTTGCTGAGAGCTATCGGAGTTCTCCATTGAACTATCGGTAAGTCCATTTTTCCTATTATTCCCTTTCAATTGCCTAGCTCTAGATTGTATGCAATGTCGGAGGCCAATGCCCGTCCGGAATTCTGCGATTCCCACCTCGTATTTGATCCCTCTATGCATTCTAATGCTAATTGACCGTTATGTCTTAAACTAGGGTACCATAATGTTTGCAAGATCTTTTGCTTTCCGGGCATTTTCGCCGCAGTGTCCTAGGACCTCTATGACCCCCGGACTGTCTGTGTCAAGCCCAACATGGAGATATTTCACTTCAAGCGCTGTTCGAACGAAGGCCGCAGTTAAAGTCAAGCCACAATATAGCCCTCCGCAGTTCAAAGCGTCTCCGCAAACCGAGCAAAGCCTGAAATTCGCTGGACGACGAGCAGAGGGCTTCGGAAAGTTAGAACGGAAGGTTGCAAAAGAAGGACAGGTATTACTTTTCCAAGCGCCATCACATCGCAGCTATATTCTAGGTGCCTACGGAATTTCAGCATTTTGCTTCGCTTACTCCGTGTACAACTCTAACGTTGTCTTCCGCGATCCGATAATACCTCTTCCAATGTGGCAGCAGGCTCTTTTTGGCGGTATCTGTGTCATGATGAGCGTCATGGGTACCGTGTTCCTCTTCAAAACTGGACGACTGATCAAAACAGTCAATGCTGTTCAGTCTAACGGACAGGCATGTCTCCGCTTCACTGTTCGGAGCTTCATTCCTTTCAGGAAGCCATTTGTGTTCGATGCTTTACCTCATCAAATAGCGTTTTCTCGCCGGCTAGTTGTAACGCATGATTCTGTGGCCCGCATGCAGCATGCAGACGCCGCTCAAAATGGGAACGTGAGCTTTTTCAAAGCGCCTTTGAAGAAGACAAGCATGCTCCTTTGGCGACTATTCCGGTCTGTCCGGCAATTGTTTACACAAGAAGACTTCATCCTCTTGGAAGTCGAAGGTCAAAAGGGTGTTATGAGGATGGATTCTGCGGGATTCGTATCGCAGGACTTTCTTGTGATTGGCAACCCGGTCACTTACAGGCGTTAGATGTTTGGCTGCCCAATTTGGCCTGCTGTGGGCCATCTGATTGTGATATTCATTCTGAAGATGTCTAATACGGTTATTGTTCTTGGTTCCCTTGATTGGGGCCTTTTTGCATCCTGTACTTGTGAAGCGTCTCGATCTGTCCTTGTACAACAGATTCCCATGTATAAATAAAACCAATTCTTCTAGAAATATCGTAGTACCGAGCATAGTCGAAGTGAATAAAAAAAAAAAAAAAGAAATGAGACAACATCATGGTTGTATTGTCCACTGCACGTGACCTCCCGGCGCGTCCTCCAAATTGTCAGTGACGCGACTTCCAGATCACTATCGCGCGGGCCCCTCCAAACACCCGACGGTCAGTTGTCATTTACCCCAGAGTCTCTGGGTCGCCTGAGGCAGTTCTTCAACGCTTCGCTTTATCTTTCCAGACTTGCAACCGCAGTCGCCGAAAAGCGACTGCCTTGTCGCAAGATGGGGAAGCTCATCAGGCTCGAGCTTTTTAGTACGCAGCGCCTTCAGAAGGTCATGGTACACACTTAATTACTGACTGGCAATACAGACTTCAAATCTTACAAGGGACATCATACCCTTCTTTTCGGCGATGCCTATTTCACATCTATTATCGGGCCTAACGGGTCCGGAAAGTCCAACTCGTGCGCTTCTCCGTATCCCCCAACTGAAAACGTACGTGCGCTGATCTTACTAGGATGGATGCTATTTCCTTCGTGCTAGGAATCAAGTCTTCCCACTTGCGATCTACGAACCTTCGCGATCTTGTCTACCGCGGTCGTGTCTTGCGCACCTCGAAGCTTGATGCTGATGGTAATGTTATCGACGAAGAACCGAACGGACAGGATCACGCAGAAGATGGAGTCGATGGAGAACAATCACAAGACCCTAGCGGATCGAATGACCCTAAAACAGCTTGGGTTATGGCAGTCTACGAAGATGATGCCGGCGAGGAGCAGCAATGGCGACGATCGATTACGAGTCAGGGAGTCAGTGAATACCGTATCAACAACCGCATCGTGACTGCGCAGCAATATAATGAGGCCCTTGAGGCGGAGAATATCTTGATCAGAGCGCGCAACTTCTTGGTCTTCCAGGGTGATGTGGAGGCGATTGCATCGCAATCACCGAAGGATCTTACTCGGTTGATTGAGCAGATTTCTGGGAGTCTGGAATACAAGGCTGAGTACGAACGTCTCAAAGCGGAGGCAGAGGAGGCTGCAGAACAACAGACAGTTCAGCTCAATCGTCGGCGAGCCATCAATTCCGAGATCAAGCAATACCAAGAACAGAAGCGGGAGGCCGAGAATTATGCCCGTAAAGCGGAGGAGCGCGACCAAGCTATCATCACTCACATTCTCTGGAAGCTCTTCCATTTCCAGCGCATGATCGACGACTCCAGTGCAGAAATCTTGAAGTACCAAGATGAACTCAAGGAATATCGCCGGGGCGTGGAGAAGTACGAAAAGAATGTCGAGGAAGCTAAGAAGGAGCACGCTGGTGTTGGTCGAGAGGTAGCAAAGGCTGAGAAGAATATCGCGAAGAAGGAGAAGGATATCGAAGAAGCCGCCAATGACTTGGTCCCGATCGACGAGAAAGTCGACATTACTATGAAAAAGGTAGAACGGTTTGCCTCTCGAATTGCGGAGATTGGCAAGGAGCGAGACTCGCAGTCAGCCAATGTCAAGCGTCTCGAGAAAGACTTTAAGGTCGTTGAAAAGGCCCAGTCCCAGTGGGAAGCAGAGTGGCAAAAGACAATGACCAAACAAGGCGTTCAACTGAGCGAGGCTGATCAGCAAGAGTACAACAAACTGAAAGAAGAAGTCAACAAGCGATCATCTGCGGAGCAGTTGAACCTCGACAATTTGCGGCGCCAAATGAAGACTGAAGCCGAAGCCCACAACAGCCTTAAAAGCAAGTTTGAAAGCACCGAGTGGCAGCTCAAGACTTTAGAATCGGATACACACTCCTTGACTGAGCGTAGATCGTCTATCAAGGATACGGTCAAAACTACATCTAAGGACATTGAACGCAAGAAGAAGGAGTTGAACGCACTCACTTCCGAACGGCTGCGTGTTTCGCAGATGAGGACTGAACTTGAGGAGAAGCTACAAGTTGTCTTGAAGAAACTTCTTGAAGCCGATGATGGCAAGAAGCAGACTGAGAGGGAGATTAGAACAAAGGAGCTAATCTCGACCTTGAAGCGTATCTTCCCTGGGGTGAAAGGCCGCGTCAGTGACCTATGCAAGCCGAAACAGAAAAAATATGCCGACGCTGTTAGCACTGTTCTTGGCCGTCATTTTGATGCTATTGTTGTTGACAACGAGAAAACTGCCAAGGAGTGTATTCAGCATCTTCGTGATCAGAGAGCCGGTCAGGCTACCTTTATTCCTCTGGAGACTATCCAAGTTAAAGCATTCAATTCTAACCTGAAGGGAATGCACAGAGGAATGCGCCCAGCGATTGAAACAGTGGATTATGATGACTCTGTGTCCAGGGCTATCAGCTACGCATGCGGAAACGCCATTGTGTGTGATGACTTGGCGACAGCCAAGTATCTCTGCTACGAAAAACATGTGGATGCGAAGGCCGTTACTCTTGACGGTACCGTTATCCACAAGGGCGGCTTGATGACTGGTGGCCGAGGCCCTCAGCAGAATTCGAAGCGCTGGGAAGATTCCGAGGTAGAGAATCTGTTCAAGCTCAAGGACAAATTGATGGCCGACCTTGCCAATCTGCCCAAGGGCCACCGTCGGGGTACCGCAGAAGAAACGCTGCAAGGAGAGCTGGTTGGTCTTGAACAGCGCTTGGCGTATGCCCAAGAGGAGCTCAAGGCGCTGGAGAGGAACCTTCAAAGCAAGCACACTGAACTAGACTTTGTTAAGCGCCAGCTCGAGGAGTTGAGGCCCAAGTATGTGGAGAAACAGGAAGAGCTGGCGGAGCTTGAACAGACCATCACAACATCGCAGGAAACCGTCAGCAATGTTGAAGATGAGGTCTATCGTAAATTCTGCAAGCGCCTTGGGTACAACAACATTCGTGAATATGAAGTTCAGCAGGGATCCCTGCATGAAGAGGCTGCCCAGAAGAAACTTGAATTCACAACCCAAAAGAGCAGAATTGAGAATCAGCTTAGTTTTGAGAAGCAGCGTCTTCAGGCCACTCTTGATCGGATCGCCAGTCTGCAGACTCAACACCAGCGTGACCAGGATATGATAGAAGAGCTCAAACAAGAACAAGAGCGCCTTCGTGACCAACTGGACGAGCACAATGCGGAGCTCGAAATTCTTCGTGAACGTCTCGAGCAGCAGAAGGAATCTTACGCGCAATCCGCTGAAAACCTCACACAACATCGTAGAGAGCTTCAAAGGCGTAGCAGGGATGTGGAAGCTACGTTGAAGAATGTGAATGCATTGGAAACAGAGGTCCAGCGTAACTCATCCAGCCGATACGCTCTTCTTCGGCGCTGCAAACTCGAGGATATTGACCTCCCATTGACCGAGGGATCAAACCCGCTAGATCAGCTTCCTATTGATGAGCTTGTCCAAGCAGCTGACCCTGACGCAATGGATGTTGATGAAGACGCGAACGGTGGTGCTGCCGGCGCTTTCACTGTTCAGGACTATGGTATTGAGGTTGATTTTGACTCTCTCGGTGAAACACTCAAGGAGGTGAGCAATGCTATCTATGCTGTTCCAGACTATATACTAACTACCACCTAGGAGTCCGACGAAAAGCTTGAAGAGGAGTTACTAGATAAGGTTCGGTCTTTGAACAGTGAACTCGACAAGATGGCTCCGAATACACGTGCAATGGAACGGCTGGAGAGTGTCGAGAACAAACTCCGAAGCACAGAGAAGGACTTTGACGAGTCACGAAAACACGCCCGAAAGACCAAGGAGGAATTCGAAGAAGTGATGCGCCAACGATCAGAGCTATTCAACAAGGCGTTCACTCACATATCGGAGCAAATCCAGCCCATCTATCGCGACTTGACAAAGAGTAGCAACTATCCATTAGGTGGACAAGCGTAAGTTACGGGTAGTTAGTGTACGATTAATCTGCGCCTATACTGATGAGACATTACCACTCGATAGGTACCTGGACATCGAAGATTCAGATGAGCCATATCTTGATGGTATCAAATACCATGCCATGCCACCGCTTAAGCGTTTCCGAGACATGGAGCACCTCTCTGGTGGTGAGAAAACCATGGCGGCCTTGGCTCTCCTGTTTGCCATCCATTCGTACCAGCCATCGCCATTTTTCGTGCTGGACGAAGTTGATGCTGCCCTCGATAACACTAATGTCGCTCGGATTGCGAACTACATTCATGATCATGCTGCTCCGGGTATGCAGTTCATTGTCATCAGTTTGAAGACTGGTCTCTTCCAGAACAGCGAGGCCTTGGTTGGAATTTACCGAGATCAGACCGAGAACAGCAGTAAATCCTTGACCCTTGATGTGAGTTTTGCCTTTCTCTCCCCTTGAATGACATGTGGGCGCGGCGATTGACTTTGGTTCCTCTTGCAGCTCCGGAAATATAATTAGACGACTCGGACTGGTATATTCGCCTTCAAGGGAAACAGTCCTTTCTTGATGATATGTAGAATAGTTCTTTGATCTTCTTCCTTCGTGGCTCATAGCTACGATACTACTGGTTCTTGCAACGGAATAATGGTTCGCTGTAGGCAATTGAATTGCTTTCTTTTGATGTACAGTGGCAGTGCACAGTAGCGAAGTTAATCTGCCCATTGATTTCGTACTCCATAAGGAGTAACCAAAGTGGCAAATTCCCCCTTAAAAGTCTGGCAGTCTCCACTTTTGACACCAACATTTGCCAGCCAGCCAGTTGAGGACATATTCAATAGTTTGAATCCTCCCGTGACATGAAAGGCACAGACAGCGTTGCGTGGAGGGCCTGAGTCCTGGCTTTGGGATTTCATCCGGAGCATAAACGTGGTCGTTTCAGCTTCCTACGAAAAGGTTGTCCCAAGGTATATTCCCTCGACGGGACATTTGCAGTTACATGAGAGGCGGGTCCTATTGCAGTATGTAGTTACTATCCTTGCTTTATGACAGTTCGGGTTACTGCACAACGCGTTCGGGGGATAGATACTCCATCCTCCTATGTAGTGGGTTGGTTATCTAGACTCTGGAGTATGGAGTCTGGACAAGTGGAATT